CTAAACCATATGGTCAAGTTCAGTCACAGCAACAGCCCATTCTCAGTACCAAATTCTGTCATAGTTACTTTTCTCTTTGCGAGACAAAATACCCAACACAAAGTTAAAGGGGGAAAGGTGTATTTAGCTCACAGTTTGAAGAGGTTTCAGTCCATAATTGGCTGGGTCCGAGGCAGGGTGGCATCACAGAGGAGAAACAGTTCATGGTGGGCAGAAGGTAGCAAAGCAACAAGGGATGACCACAGCTCTTTCTATCCCTTATATTTTATCTGGACTACTTGAGGGGGGAAGGAGAGTAGCATTCACACTATTTATTTATATGCTTTTGATGTTTCTAAATAACTAACTGCAATTTTTCCCAAAACGTCTTCCCTATCTTTTGTTAAGCATAATGTTATATTTTTAATATTTATTTTATATTTTTTCTATTGTTATAAGTTGATCAGTGACGATTAACTGTCAAAGACAATTAAGTACAATTAGCCTAATAAGCCACAGGATGGATCCATAAACACAGTAATTTGACTTTCTGGGATCTATTACTGTGGATAATCTAATCACAGTATTTCTATTTCCATTTCTAGGGCTAAACTAAATAGGTAAACTATGAAGATGTCATTTGAGGTAAATCAATTTTCAAGGTGTAGACCACTAACTGGCAGATCAACACTGTGTAGGAACTTGTTAGAAATGTAAATTGTAGATCACATCTGAAACCTACTAATAAGAACCTCTTAGAATGGGGCCTGACAATCTTTCTTTTAATAAATCCTCCAGGTGATTCTGGTACACACTAAAGCTTGAGAACCAGTGGTCAATATAAGTGGAAAAATTTTAAGTCTTGTAGGAAAAGAAGTGATTCAACTAATGATAACAGGTATACATGGCCTCTTACCTAACTCACAGACCTGGAAACTCTTGGATAAGTAGTAACGAGGTCCTTTGAAAGAGGTTCTTTAGACATAGCACAACCTTGCTGTGTATATGCCTGTAACATTTTCTCACAGTAACCTGGGTCATTTACTAGAATGATTGTGCACTAGGGAAAGGAAAATAGCTGGTTCTTCTGAAGGAATGTTCCCAACATGCAATGACAGGTGTATCAATCTGACTTTTTGACTGCTAGGAGTTATTTCTATCATATTCCTGAATTTCCTTAACACAGAATTCTGTTTTGGGCTCTCTGCTCATTTCCATTGACTATTTGTCATTCCTATACCAATAACTACAACACTATTAATTTCTAATAAACTAATTTGGCAACTCCAAGGATTTTCTTGGTCTTTTGCAGAACTTTATATTCTTCTACTTTTAGTCTTCTTCAAGAACTTTGGGGCCAATTTGTCAAATTTCTAAAAAATTGCAAGGAAATTTTTATTGTAATTGTCTTAGTCACTTTTCTCATTGCTGAGACAAAATACCCAACACTCAAAGTTAAAGGAGGAAAGGTTTTTTTAGCTCACAGTTTGTAGAAGATTCAATCCATAATTGGCTGGCTCCAAGGCAGGGTGACATGGCAGAGGGGCATTGCAAAGAAGAAGCAGTTCATGGTGGTGTAAAGCAAGCAAAGGGCCTTAATAGCATCTTTCTGCCCCTTTTATCTTATCCAGGCTACTTAGGGCTGGTAGCACTCACATCTTTAATCCTAGTGCCCTTGATCCTGGCATTGCACCGTGAATCAATCCCAGAGTCACACACTCTAGATTTGGCCACCTCTGAAAAAGCCCTACCTATGGCTGCATGAGGCTTTGGAGGACATTTAGACCCAAGCCATAACAGTAGTGATACTAAATTTATAAACAATTTGAGTTGAATCAACATCTTCATCTTCCTGAGTATTCATTTGTTGTCTCTCTACATTTATTAGGACAAGATTCAGTGAATCACAAAAGCTGGATCTGTAGGGAGAAACATACTCATCTATTATTTTCTAATGATTAGGAATTTCCTGAAAGCCTACTGGACCATGTCTTATCTTGGATACTAGAGATAGAGATAAATAACATAGAAATATGCTTCCAAAGACAGTGAAATTTCAGCATAGAGAATATCAGAAAGAAAAGCAAATGTTTTTATCACACAAAATCAGGAAATATATTATAAAACTTCAGGAGGGACATGATCCACATTTTCATCAAGAAGACAGGGATCAGTCTAGGAAAGAAACATCTGATTTATGCCTCAATAAAATAAGTTATAATGTTCTCTCCAGTTCCTTTCATCTAATAGAATCAAATTCTCTGACTCAAAAGTCCAGAAATCTAATCTCAATGCCAAGAATCCTTCTCTCCCTTCCTCCTTGCAGATGAAAGTCTTTCATTAGCTAAGCCAGGCCATAAATTCTGGAAAAGGTAGAATTGTCAAATGCACAGACATCCTTGCAGGAAAACAAGAATCATGAAGAGTCAGGGAACTTAATATCACCAAAAGAATGCAACAAACTTCTAGCAACCAACCCAAATAATTGGGGAAAATATGAATTCCCTGACATTGAATTCAAAGCAATTGTTCTGAAGAAGCTCATCAAGTTACAACAGATAAACAATTTAACAATAACCAGGAAAACAATACAAGAACAAAATGAAAAGATAGTTCTAAAAATTCAAGTGGAAGCCTTGGAGCTAAAGAATACAATGACCAAACTTTTTAAAAAATGCAATAAAGAATAGATCAAGCAAAAGAAAGAATAAGCAAATTCAAAGACAGTTCATTTGAAATCATCATCTGAAGAAGAAATTCTGAATAGACCATAACAAGTAAGCAATGAAGAAGTAGTGGAAAAGCTTCCCATGAAGAACATCTCAGGACTTGATGTTTCACTGGTGAGTTGTTCTAAACATTTAAAGAAAAAACTAATCCCAATCTTTCTCAAACTCTTCCAAAAACTGAAAGAGTAGGGAAGACTTCCAAAGTTACTCATGAGGCCACAGTACCCTGATACCATACCAAGACAAGAACACTACAAGAAAGATAATTACAGGTAAATATAAATATAGCTACAAAATATAGATACAAATAAATAGATAAATATAAATACAAATATAGATAAATATAGATACAAATATCCTCAACAAAATACTAGAAAACCAAATTCAATAACACATTAAGGAGACCACTCACCATGATCATGTGGGATCCATACTGTCCAAGCAATTTACAGATACAATGAGATCCCTATCAAAATTCCAATATCATTTTTCAAAGAAATAGAAAAAAATCCTGAAATTCACATGGAGCTCAAAAGACCTCAGATAGGCATGACAATCCCGCAAAGAGAACAAAGCTTGAGGTGATTTCAAGATATGTTACGAAACCATAGGACAAAACAGAATGATACTAGCATAGAAACAGACACATTGACTAATGGAACAGAATAGAGAGCTCAGAAATAGACCCACATATTTATGGTCAATTGATTTTCCACAAGGACACCAAGAACACACAATGAGGAAAGGGAAGGCTTTTCAATAAATGGTGCTTGAGAAACTGGAAATCCACATGGAGATGAATGAAACTGATCCATCACTTCATACAACATACAAAAATCAACCTCCAGTCTTATACACCTTATTGCTTTATCTTATTGCATTGTTTTCTATATTTCACACATTGTCAGAAAACAGTGCTGATCCTGTTTCTGACTTCAGTTCCAATTCTTCTAAAAATTCAATGTAATGTAGATTTTGCTACAGCTTCATGTAGGATTTCTTTCTTTTGGTCTCTGTGTAGATTTACTTCTATTATTAGTTGTAACAAAGAATTCACATGCACATTGAACTTTATAAAATGTTTTAAAACCCGATGAATTCTAATTTTTAACATTTTATTCAGAATCATCACAACTATGTTCATAGAAGAAGATGGCGTGTTCACAATTACCTTTTCTTCTACTGCCCATATTTGTGGTATAAGATTTTTGCTATATTCATTTTTTGCTGCATAACAAATTGCACCAAAGCTTAGCATCTTAAAACCATAAATATTATCTCACAGTTTGAGGGGCAGGAATACAGAAGCAGCTTAGCTTGGTGGATCAGGAAGAGGGTCTCTCATGAGGTCAAGTCAGCTATCTGCAGGTACTACAGTCATTTCAGACTAGGGTGGGTCTGAAAAATCTCCTTTCAAGCTCATTCGTGTGTTTGCTGGTGGGCCTCACGTCCTCACAGGCTGTTAGCCAAAAGCATTACTTCCTGTGAGCCACTCCGCAGAGGACCTGAGTGACCTCATAACATGGCAACTAAATTCCCCTAGAGTAAATGGTAAGAGAAGCTTCCCAAAATGGAAGCTGCAATCTTCTATCACATAATATTATAAAGAGACTATCACACCTGCAATATTTTGTTGGTCATACAGACAAAGAAAGAATATGGATATGGGAGGGGACTGCACCAGGGTGTAAAGACCAAGTGTTAGGATAACTGGGGACCAGCTTGGAAGGTGGCTACCCTACCCACAGAATAAATAAAATAGTTCTCTCTCTTTTTATTCTTCTCTGAAAAGGTTAACTTAATATAAGAAATTGCTGCTCTTGGAGCACTGGTTGAAAGTATTAAGGAATATTTTCTTAGTCCTGTGGCTTTTCCAGGAAATACTCAACATACAAATTTGGTGGGAATTTTGTGTTTATTTGTTTTTATCATTATTTTACCAAGTTGTCTCCCTTTGAGTCCATAGAGCACAGAAAAATGTGAAGCAAAGGTTCTGTGCTTGCTCTCTGACTTTACGTGTCCAGCTCTGGTAATTTCTGTTCCATGGAATCAAGAATACTACCTTCTGCAGTATTGGCCTACAGCATGTCATCAACATGACCCACCATGGAAATATGCTTACTTCAAGACAAAAGAAATGGCATCTTGGGAAACAGGACACAAAAGACTCAAAATTGCTCCAGTAGTCAACAAGTGGCCATGATTTGTGGATAATATGCTCTGGCCCAGTAACCCTGCTGTTTCCATCCTCTAATGCCCTAAAAATTGGAAGAAGATGACTTTTGTTGCCAGTTTTCAGATGAAGAAATTATATTTAGAAGATAAAGTCACTTGTACAAATACCACACGGCCAGTACTATCAGAGCCATGATATAAATTCAAGGCTGCCCATCCCAGCAAGCCTCTTCCTTGTACTCCACATCCTAAGAGGGAGGCCTCAGATCCAGACTTTCCTCGGTGCCTCTCATCTCAATTAATCACAAAACAGAATGCACATAAATAGATAAGCTCACTTATTTATTCACTGATCAACATTATTTCTTTAAAGCCCATGTGTCAAGAGTTTGTTGAAAAGAGATGTTGGTGGTGGAACCAAATCCTTGAGGCAGGATACAAACTTGGGAACAGAAAGGGCATTCCCAAGCCACACAGCACAAATCCAGAGTCTTGTCCAGATGATAGGAATCAAGCTATAAGAGAAAATCAGAGAAGATCTTCAGAATAAGAACCAGTCAAATCATTTCCACATTCTTCCCCACCAAGATGCCTCTGAGATAGAAATGCAGTGGTATGGTTGAAAATGTTTTTGTACTGGGGGACTCAGCTCAAGTTTCATTTTCACTGTAAAACCTGAATCTCAGAGGATTGAACTACATTGCTCTTAAATCCCAGTGTTCTTTTGGACTTTGACAATGGCCATCATCATGTAAATAACCCAAACAATACTTAGTCTGTACAGTGTCAATTTCATTACGCCTATTTTACAGATAAAGAAATGGAAACTCAGGAAGTCATTTGCTCAGGGTCCTCATGTGGAAAGGCTGCAATAGAATCAAAGCCACAGGTGATTCTATGGAAATCATGCCCTGAGACCTAGGAAACAGTGCCCTTGAAGGACAAGGGAGTCAGGCACTTTCTGCTTGGAGTAGGGGGTCTCCCTGACCATGCACCTAGACCTCCAGAGGTCTAGGTGATCCTGATAAAGTTGGAGGCAAGAAAATCAATCTGTCCCAGCCCTCTCCTTACCTTACCGAGGGGGAATGCAGGCTTTCCCACACATGCCCTTGCAGCACTTTAATTTACCCTCACACTGGCCATCCTTCTCACAGAAATTGGGGGGATTAAGCATCAGACATTCAGCATTGGCCACTGGGCACTTCCCAGGCTTCTTCCTCGCTGTTAAGAGTAGAACTACAGGTCAGAGGTCTTGTACTTTAGACATTATCCCCCTGCTTCTTGGACCCAACCTCTGCACCAGCCTGAGCAGGGAGGATCATCTCCTCCCCTACTCCCCTCACCATCACCTCCTCGCTAAGGCATATCCTGAAATAACACCTGACTCCCCTCTAACACCTGTACCCCAATCAATGCAGGTGACCAGCTGTCTAGTGCTGACTGGATGGGTAGCTTCCAAATGCCTGGCTATCTGAATGCCCAGATAGTTACCAAGGAGACAAACCTCCTGACATTCTGGCTGCTTCAGCTGGGTGGCTAACTTCCTGCCTGGGGCAAAATGGTTCCTTGACTGACTGACATATTGAGCTCAACAGACTTTAGGGAGGAGGCCTGGCAGGACCCCTTCACCCAATCCAATCTCCATCGAGGCTTGGTAGTCAGGGCCACTCCTTTCCACCCTGGTCTTCCACCAGCTCACCTGATTTTGAGATGTCAACAGGATCCAGGCACTTGATTCCACAATAATCACTGCAACATCTTTTTTCCCCTGGACATTGCCAGTCACTCTTGCATTCAGGTTCCTCATATCTACTACACAGGACATGTTTTCTAGGAGGGCAGGCTCCAGCTTTCTGAGATTCTGAGGAGAAGTTCAAGAGGTTAGAGAGGGGCTGGGTGCCAAGTAGCCACCATGACTCGGACAAAGCATCACTTTCCAGGAGAAGAGAATCTCACCCTGGGGGTTGTCCAAAAAGTTCAAAGGAAAATACGTGTATGACAGTCAAGAAAAGTGACAGGTTTAATTAAACCAGATAGTCACACAGGAGAAGTAACAGATCCAGGAACAAGACAGGGATGCCAGTCAAGGTCTTTCACTCTAGGGCAAAACAAAATTACTCAAAGACATAAAGGAAGCCTGGGAGCGATAGAGAGCAAGAGATATAAATAAAGATAAATGGAACTAGCATGGGAGACGTTGAAAAACAAAGCTAGAGTAAGAAACGTAAAGACTAGAGGATAGAGAGAGATACAGGAAATGAAGGGACTAATCACTGGAGAGTCACAGGGTCAGAGAGGAAGAGAGACTGCAGGAGAGAGAGAATGGGAGAGAGAATGAAGGAGCGAGACCTGGGGTGACGGGGTGGCTGAGAACAAGGCGCATTTCCAGATGCTCAGGAGTCTTGGGGAAGTCTTGGAGCCCAGAAGAAAATGCATGCCCCCCTCAGGGGGTCTCTTGAAACTAAACTGAATGATCAGAGCCTAGAGAAAGGGACATACTCACACCACCAAGAGCTCCCGCCTCTGATGGCTCCAGCCAAGAGGGGCTCAGGGGACGCCAACTTACTTTTTCCAGAACGTTCCACAGCCAAAGTTTCCAGAGTTCCCAGGGCAAGAAACACCACAAAGAAGAAGAGGCTCTTGGACTTCATGGTGAAGGCAGGTGGCTCTGATGACTGATGTGAACCTCACTATTTATGTCTTTCCCAGTGGGTGTGGCCCCGACAGAATGCTTTGGCTCCTCCCAGCTGCTATTGCCTAGGCAGAAAGCTTAGCTAGAGACTGAAAGTTCTGAAACTAGGCAAATGGTGGCCCTGGCCCCTTCCTGCTTCAGACAGGACTGTGAGGCCTATAAAGTAGCTACCAGAGCAGAAGTTTGCCGGAAGGGGTAACCAGGCTGATAAAGAAGGCCATTCCAGACATCTGTCTGAGTCCTGAACACTGTGGAGGCCGCAGGCCCACTGGCCTTGCAGGTGGAGAAGTTGTGAAAGAATTCAGTTGCAGAGGTGCCACCTGGACCAGGAGCTGAAACTGGAGACAGGGACTCTCAGCTGTGACTGTACAATACACCCCTAATTTTCACAGTCCCAGACTCTCTGGGATTGTGAAACTTCCTACTGATTGCTCAATGCAAGTTCTTTCTCAAAAGTGCAGATGACACATCACTCAACCAACAGATGCTTATTTTCCTGAAATATTTGCACCGTTATGTCCTCGGTGCCTGTTCTATGACCAAACAATGGGAAGCACTCTCTATAAACAGCTGAAAGATGCACAGGGTGAAATTATTATATTTAAGTTATTAATCATTTAAATAATATATTGATGTATATTAATTAAATGATTAATAACCTCAAAAAAAAGATCTATGGGAAAGAGCCCTGCCTTCAGCAGCCTCTTTGGAACTCAGTTTTCCCTGCCATAAAATGGGATGATACTAACAGCCCTTCTCAGAACGTTATAAGATGAAGGTTGTTAAAGGACTCTGAAAAGAATAATAAATATTATCACTGAAAATAGTTGAAGTGAATCTGAGATAAAGGTCAACAAAGCCACTTACCAGTCACTGTAATCAACATCTAGCTATGGTATAATCTGAGATGTTGAAGAAATGCTTTCTACCCTCCAAGATCCCCTATAGATCTCAAGTGACAGCAAAAACTAATGGTTGTTACATACAAAAACCTTTTCTATGCACTACCTAGGCTGCATAGATTGCTTCTAATTCTTGAGGGTGATCATTATCTCTACAATTCAATGAAACTGGTCTGACTGCAAAATCCAAGCTCTTGCCCTGCCATCATGTGGCCTCTTGATGTGAGGAACACTCCCATTCATCTGTCAAACTGAAGATTTGAAGAAATTCAAATAGACATGCAAGAGCCACACATTACAAGTAGTGAAGACTCTTGAAGTAGTAAAGACACCTGAAGTTATTAGTTAAGTGTTCTCCAGACAGTCACTGGCAGCAAATCCCTTTGTGCAAAAGTAATTCAAAAGTGGTTTAAGTTTTGAGAAAAGAAAACAGAGAATATTAATATGCATCGGGTAACTGTGATGAGCTGATACATTCGCTCATAGATAGCAAGCGGTAAGGACGGTAAGAGAGAAATAGAGGGTCTGACTTCCAAGGATGAGCAATATCACTGTCAGTTTAGAGTTTTTGTTCTCATGTGTGCCACCCAGGGGACAATTTGATTCCCCTCACGGCTTACCATTCTGTTTCTTCTTATCTTTCTTAATATTAAGAGAATATCTGGAGTTTCCCAAATATTTGTTTCTTAACAAGTGAAAAGGAGAATGCTACAACTAGTTTTCTACCTGTGATTGATTAATTGATGAGTCAAATTTTTTTATTGGAAAAGAGCCCTATGATCAATTAGCAGTGTCTTCCACTGGTAACAGAGGAGGATAGTGATGCACGGTCATTTCTGTTCTCGACACAATTGGCTCCAAGTCCTTAAATCATAGAATGTTGATATTAAAGGGGACTTCAGTTATCTAGACCAAGATTAGATAACTAACTGTAGTCCCCGGTCTAAGTCCAAAAGACTTCCTGTTTCTATAAGTGAAACTTTATTGAAACATAGCTATCTATTTATTTATGAACTGTATGTGGCTATTCTCCCACTACAATGGCAGAGTTCAACAGTGACATAAACCCGAAATAGTTACTAGAAATCCTAAGACAATTTCTGTCTGGTCATTTACATAAAATGTTTGCTGGCCCCCAAACACACAACGATATCCCACCTTATAATAAAAGAGATTGAATCTTTCGGGAAAAAGTACAAACCTAAAGTTGCATAATAAGTTAATTACACGGCACACATCTGAACTTTGCCAAAACAGGTTACTCACAGGCTGATCATCAGAACTTGTTTGGTAGTGGACACTCCCCCTCCTGACCCAATCATAACCTGAAATTTATTTGCTAAATCTATCTCACACACTCTCTACTGCTTTCTCGTAAACACTATATATTTATTCATTCATTCATCCACACAGAAATTATTTAATAATGTCTTACCCCATGCCAGGCACGGCAGTAGATCCTGAGGCTACAATGAACAAGACATAGAGTTGATGCTTCATGGTTGTTAAGAACCCGAACTTTAAAGTCAGACTTGCCTGAGTTGGAAGAAAATCACTGGACCTCTCCAAGCTTCAGTTATCTCAACTATAAAATGGGAGTATTGCTTTTTTCTGTGTCCTATGGTTGTTGTGAGTATTTGGCAGGCACCCAGAACAGTGTCTTGTCCTTTCAATGAAGTAAGAAGACATTGATTTTTGTAACAATTGAGTTCTATATTATTAGGCACCAGGGGCTGTCTCTAACTACAGGCTTAGCCCTGTCTTGCTTTGTCTCATTAAATACTGTACAAAATCTTATTCTGCTCATGTCCTGGCTCTGTTTCTCTGGAGAACCTTGACTACTACAACTTCCCTGTCCTCCCAGTTCCCACTATCATTTATTTAATGCTAGTTACATCATCACTTTTGAAGTTGCCTCATTATTGAAGACTCTGAATCCTGGCTTCTAATTAATGTCTCAAGGCTTGTTCCTCAGTGTGGTTGCTCCTCAATGTCCACCGATTTGAGAATGAGAAGAGAAAACTGGCAGCTGGTGATTACTGCATGCACATTAGTAGCAGAGGGAATCTGAGGCTCCTGTGAGGGTCTATGCTCTCCCCATGGATGTCTACATACTTTTTGGGGACAACACTAAATAGACTTTTAAATTATAGCTCATGGATTAAAGGGGTCAGGAAGTGAGAGAAGCAACTTATTCACATGACATTCACCTACTATGGCTCAAGACTGACCCTAGAGGACACATAAGAGAAGCCAAAAAAATTTTTCTTTTAAAAAAAGATGTCAATTGGAAAGATCTGTTGGTGAAAAAGCCATGGTCTGAAAAGCCAAGGAAGGAGATAAGAGTAGCCCGCCTTACCAGAAGCCTGCTGAAGAGGTGACTGTTGGATGCCAGCAATAAGGGAAGTTGTAGAGGCTGGAGAAAGTGGGGAGAAAGGAGAACCAAGACCCACGCAGGTCTCAGGCCAGTCTCGGGGTGTTCCGCCCCAGTGGCACTGGTGGTCCTGGTTGGCCTCAGGCATCGAAGGGAACAGACAGGTTCGAGGAAGCCTGCTCCAAAGCACAGAGCTTCCTGAGGTGTGAGGCTTAGGTCTAAGGGAGATGTCTTTCGGTTCTCTTCGTCCTGATAGCAGATGCCATCTTTACCCTTAGCTAAAATTCACCAGAAAGAAAGAGGAGGAAAGAAGAAAAGTTCAACACCTCAATAAAGGGTACCAAATCTGTCTCCCAAAAAAGGTAACGAAGTGTGGTCCTTGATCCTACATTCATCCCAAGTTCTGGAATCTGTATGAAAGAATTTCTCTCAGCTAAATCCAGACAAAAGTGCTTATAATCAAGGGGACATTAAAAAATAATTAAAATCTATTATGTACATGCAGCAGCTCCCCATGAGAATGTAATCAGTATGTACTGCAAACATGTACTAATAAAAATAAGAATTTGAAAAAGCTTGTCCTTATAATCAGTCTTTACAGTTTAAGCTAAATTTAGTAAATTTAACCATTTCAAATGTCTCCAATATAAAATGATAGAATGTGAACAGAATAACCACAGTAAAAACTCTTGTTTGTAAAAGGGAATCGTGAAAAGCAATGACGTGTGTTCACTGGCCGATGGTGTATATTATCTCCTGTTAAGACAAGGATATGAGGACTTCTCACCTCGGAATGGAATGACTTCCTTGTTCAGGAAATCTGGAAGATCCAGTTCTGCTGTCTTGGAGCCTCTACCTTTCTAAGGCCACATACAGAGTATTTCAGAGGATGCTCTTTTGTCAAGTGTGTGAATAGGACTTGGGGATTGACGTAAGCAATTAGTGACCATTATTGATGAGGCTTGAATTTCTTGTTTAGTTGGCTCCTGCTCCATTTAATTCAAGTAAAAATGTGAGCTAATGGCCAAATTTAGAAACTGTGCTAAATCAGAGTCAGATTTGTCTTTTACTTATCCAGTTCACCTGTAAATATGCACTTTTTAAAAATCATTATTATTATCATTATTATTTTGGTACGGAGGATCAAACTTGGGTCCTTGTGCTTGCGAAGCAGGCGGCAAAACCACTGAACTAAATCCCCGGCCCTTAAATGTGCACTTTTAATCTGAAGATCTAATTTCATTTTGAAAAATGTTCTCTCTTTATATCTTTGATTGTTTCTCTGCTGTTTTCTTTCTGGAACTTTTGCTGACTATTTGTTAAACCTTCTATTTCTGTTTTCCTTGTTTTGCCTTATGTCTCATATTATTCTCTTCTTCATCTCTCTGTACTGTATTCTTGGTGAATTCCTCAGTACTAGCCCCCAATTCACTAATTTTTCTTTCACCTGCACCCAGTCTTGACATTATTTTATCTAATGTTTTTATTTCTAAAATTATGTGTTGCTAGGATTTCTATTTGGTTCTTTTTAATATATCTGGAAAATGTAAATTATTTATACTTTTCTGCAACCATTTAATAAATTAATCAGAACAACTTTTTGATCAACTGGTAGGTAACTTCATGCCTGAAAATTCAGCCTCACTGCTTATTTCAAAAGAAATAAGAAAGTTCTAGCCCAAATCTAAAACAAGAACCTGACGATAACTGTCTTGTTCGATGCTACTCTTCCTCCTGTGAATAAGAACCAAATTATTAATCAGATGTCTCCATGTAGATATATTTTTCAGGTCCTCCCCAGGTGAACAACTAACCTTGTCATTGCCTATATGGAGAAAACATACAAGTTATATATTGTTGTAGGAAGAAAATGAGCACGATG